TAGTGATACGGAGAAGGAGCAGGATACACTGGATTCCTTGTAGCTGTTAAAACATACATACACGAAACTCGCAATTTCGCCCGTCAATGATACCTTGCACATTTCCATCGAGCAGTTTCTAACTACATTTGCGCGCGATGATACTGGACCCCGATTAACTTCATTGCCAGATAACAGGATATGCTATTTATCCCACCCTGCCCCTTCCCCCACTACGGAATTCCACCGGCGATAGTAAACCAAGACGACGTGTAACAACAAATGAGCAGTCTGACCTAGAGGATCGCTTTCAGAGAGGCTCTACATCAGAGTGGAATTCGTTTGTTGCTTTTTCATTTGTGAGTAACCCTCAGGAAAATCACCTACACAGTTTCAAAGAACGCGAAACTGCGCTGGTCAGTTATGGTGATATTGGTCGCCAAGCGAACCGGCCAAGTGAACTGGTATCAACGAATTTTTTGGAAGCTGTATGACATAGAAGGATTTGACTATAAACTGAAATTTGATAAAAACTGAAATTAAGATCACTATAATGAAACTAGAGATATTTATTGTGTTCAGGTACAGTCTGGAAACAACTGATATGCTAAAGCGGCATGAGTGTGGTCTAGACAGCTTTCAATAACGCTGTCTGCGCCATGTCCTCAAAGTGCGATGGTGCCACTGGATCAAGAAAAAGCAGGCGCTGACGAATAGCTGTGCGAAAAAAACTGTTAGATGAGTACAAGGTTGGGTTTAATGAAACGTCCAAAAAGACAGTGTAAATGTTTTCAAAGCTCTTGTTACGCAGGAACCGCAGAAGCTTCGGAGGGCAATATAAAATACAGGAACACTGTTGAAGCAGACCTGCATATGATAAGAAATATAACCTTTTCCGCAGTAGTAAAAGTTACTTAATATCAATCTGGGATAGCATTTTTTTAAGGTCAGACATAATAAATTTGAATTTATCATATGAGCTCAATTAGCACTGGATAAGAATGAGAAAACAATTATGCGAATTGTCCAGATTGGAAACATTCAACGAATAAGGATATACGCATTAGCAACACTGTGAAGAAAAACAGTCAAAACAGACATGGCATGAAGTGTGCGTCGGTGCTTGAAGAAATCAGGGTGGGCAACCAACAACAGCATAAAACATGTCTCTCAATGGTTGAATATTATAAGGGTCATAAACTGATGAATGAAACGAGAAATCAAAGTCATCAATCATTCAATGCAGAAATAATGTCACCAGAAACAATAAATGGTATCTGGTGCGAATAAAAGAAGCAGCCTCAGGACGAAAACGTATAAATTATTTAAGAATCAAAACGCAAAGAAACTTTTTTTAAGTTCCGTTATGAACCCTGCCAAAATAAGTAGCCGCGCAAGAAGAAACACCCTGGCATAGAGTCAAACGTCGGTAATATCCAGATGACCTTTGATTTATCATCCTGTTTTACTGCATTTTCTAACGAATACTAATCAAAATGTTTTTCAGAAACTCAAATTCAGCTTCGACGTCGCAGAAAGTAAACAATGATAGACGTAAAGAATCGCAGAGCGAGGAACATGCGGAAGAATGAAAAATTTTTACAGGCAAGAAAACCTATTTCCGACTTTGAAATTGTAGGATAAAGCGGTAACCTGGCAACATTTTACGTAAATGGAAGATAATATTTATCAATATTTATTTACAATTCAAATTTTGCACATGGTTCTGCCGAAAATAACACAGCATTATAAATGAATGACGAATGTGAGATTGAATTAAGCAGTTTTTCCAATTTTTGTTAAAAGTTCATTTGACTAGGCAGAAAATTTTCCATACCATTTTCTGATATAACCAACTAAAGAACCGACGAGAGGGGAACATGAGAGCAAATAAGGCAGAACTAAGCCTCTGTATATTAAAGTAACAGCTTATGAAATTCTGGCTCATTTGGAATAATGCTACTACCTGAAAAATGTTGCACCCTGGTGCTAAACTAGCAGCTAAATTTTCGTCAGCAAAAAGTGAAAGCTGCATAAAAGGCATATTCAGTTTAACTAGATTAATTTAAAAAATTGCAATGACGAAAACTGAAAGTCGATGGCACCGCAATATATATATATATATATCCCAACAAATGTCTGCCGACAGCCATGCATACGGCTTCTTAAACCACAGAATCATATGAGACGTGCCTCGCTCAGATTCTATCTGTGTTCGATTCTTCTGCCTTAATTTTTCTGTTGCTTGTATCAGATACGCTGCGGAAAGCGCCATTTTTGCGCTGCTTGTTCTTCAATCAAAGTTTAGCATTAACGGTATCGATTGGTCCTCTATGAGACCAGGCACGCATGCCTGGGGGTATGTACACAAGTATGTATCGACTGGTCCTCTACGAGACCAGACATGCATATCTGAGGGTATGTATACATGTGTGTATCGATTGGTCCTCTATGAGACCATTCATGCATGCCTGGGGGTATGTATACATGTTATGTATCGATTGGTCCTCTACGAGCCAAGGCATGCATGCGTGGGGGTACGCATACATCTATGTATCGACTGGTTCTCTAGATCTTGCTATTAAAAATGTACCAAAACCAGACGATTTCCCACTACGCTACACCAAGATCCCGAAGCGAGGCCCGGTATATCTTGAATAATCAAAACACTAACAAGAACGACATGTGCCCACTCATTCAGGGAGCAACTGATATAAGCAAGGTGAAAAGCTTCGACGCAGTTTAAAACGTACGGGCGACTTTTGTAAAAATTACCTTTCAAAATATTTTTGCTACAACAGCGTTTTCAAGAAATATTGTGAAGACGGTGCGTAAAGACCAGATACAGACCTAAGCATATCGCGCATATGAAAGAACTGAAGTCATACTCATCCTGAGAATCATTTGCCAAACTGACGCCAGATTTAAGATAGATAATGGCACATCGTTATTTTACAAACTGCCAGCTAGTACATCCAAAAAGAATGTCGAGAAAAATACTTTTTATGCCGCCCTACTGAGATGAGAAAATTTTCATGCTTCATTTTCTTCTGATGATCCGTGAAAGAGAGAAACAAGGACGGCATTACGTTAAGCCAAGAACAGAACCCAAAATAGCACAGAAAATGCCATTCACTATTTATGAATGAAACCCATTATGCACACCGTATAATTTTGATATTGATACTTTCGGTATACAGATTGTTTGGTTATATGTTTGTTATTGTTTGCAGAGTTGACTTAAGCACATCGCACTGAATTTCATTTTTTCAAAATCATAGTAACGTCAGAAATAAAGGTGCTCCATCATATTTTGTTACAGTCGCAGAAAGCCTTAAAAATTAAAAAAGCAACCCTGACTTCATTTGGGCAACAACATTTTTCATCTTGGTCCTGTCCAAAGATTAATTAATTATTTTTATCTAGCCATGTTTTTACTGGAAATCTGAAAAAAAATCAACCGGAATCATTTGCAAATGGAACAAAAAACCGCAATTGCTCATGTACAAACAAAGAAAAATCGATTTACATATCTTTGACGAACTTTTTTTTTTAAATATCAGCATTTCGTGCAGTCGCTGCTTTAAAATCATATTTACGAGAACGTTATACCCATAACAGTTTACGATTTTGAACAGAACGCATCGCTTTCGATCTTTAGAAGAAAAGAAGCCAATTTCCACAAGGAAGAAGATAATAATCTAGCAAAATTAAATTAAACATTCTGCTCCTGCCCAGCAACCTTTCACCTGTTCACCAACAAAGAATTTCTCCGCAAAAAAGAAACGGTAAGAAAAACAACCGAGAAGAGGTGCTTGTGCGAAAACTCATTGACAATCGCTCAGAGAGGGCCAAGCCTCACAAAGCCGTCACCTACAGCCCCACTGGACAAGTGCGAAAGAAACACGGACATCTTGTCTAAGACACGTGGCAACAGAGGACATAAGCAAGAACCTTTGCCAGAAATAGACGAAAAGATTAAGCGGATGTGATCCTCAATAAAACGGATCGATAAGTAATTAAAGAATCATGGTATCGTCAAAAAAAACGAAGCATCATTAAGGCCGGAAAGCCTACTTATAAAGAAGACACCTTCATTTTTGGGTGTTTTGAAAAACAATAGGAAGTGCAGTTCAACAGAGAGAGCAGATCGCCGCTGCACTAATTTAACAAAAACCGCAACATTCTGTTCCCATTACCCTTTTGTCCAATTCTTGACGATGTGTCTGATGAAGTCGGTCCAATTCTTTGTTGAATTGCTGTAACAGCTGGTCATATTCACGATCCAGCTTCCCACGAAGAGTCTCCATCTCCGCCAGGGACTTCTCTTCCAACTAAGCAGTAAAACATAGCACAGAAGCGGCTGTGCTACCACTTTTAGCACTCACTTGCTTTTGTTCCTTGAGATGTTCCCGTCTCATTCGCTTGTAACCGGACATCTGCTCACGCAGATTGTTCTCAGTCGCGTACTCGTTCTGCTCACGCACAACCGCAACCGTCGGTTTGATGGTGGCGAACCGCGAGCGCCGCAATGCCAGTACATCCTCCTGAAAAGGGCAACATCTGCCATATCTGAGGAGCAGAGAGCGCAGTGTACAATAATACCTTGGTTTTGACGGCACCAAGAGATTTTGGCTTGGATCCAGACGCGGTTTCATCGCTAGTAGTCACATCCAAAACAGACTTGCTTAGATGTCCGTCCACCAAAGCAGAGATGGACTTTTTTAACGAAGAGTTTCGAGAGGAGCCAGAGCCGCCGCCATGCTGGCCGTACTTCATATTTTCGCATATCTGGCGGCTTTCTCTCTCCCTCTTTGCCAAGTTCTCTGTACTTCTCTGAGAATGCATGGACGACAACGAATTAGACTGACTACTAGGGCTATCGTTACCAATCAAGTCGTCCTCCTAAAAATGCACCCATAACGCTCGTTCCTGGCACTAGGTCGCCTCGTTTCGCTTACTATGCTATCAACATCTTCACTATCGAGACTAGAAACTTCCGCGGAGTTACTCGACTGCTGTTCATCGAGATACATAATTTTTCTAAGCTTCCTGTATTGAAAATGATCTAAATTGCGCACTAGTACTTTTGTTCTTTGAATCAGGTCGTATAATATGGATGGTGGTTTAGGTTTGATGATGAACGCGTGCTAAATGTCATAAAATATCACAAAACGATACACATCGTGCGCTATTATTGGTTATTGAATAGCACAGAAATGCAAAATTCATACAAAAATGTCTTCCATGTCGAAACTGTCAATTCTGTCTGCTGATATTTGCAATTACTAGTTTATCCTTATATTAGTTTGACAAAAATATAAGACGCGGGAAGTTTTTTATTTCACATTTAATGCAATTAATCAAGAGTCACCTACCTTCTATCCCAAAAACTATTCGACCATTTAAATGACGGTTGCTTTACCGTTGAAATCAAGAAAACACGTTTAACACAAGTGTAATTCACAAAGCTTATGAAACTTCACAAACTCTCCAAACTGTAATGCAAAAAAAAACGAAAGCTTGAAAAAGTTTCGCCCCTCATCTTAACCTATTTCCATGGAACGATATAATTAAGCCACATATTAACAATGTAACTTGATCAGCTATGAGGATGAAATGTCAATTATTGCAAAAGTCAGAAAAACTTAACAAACAGGCCAAGACACAACCGTCGCTAGATAGGAATCAAGACTAATATTCGAGGCATCAAAAAAGATCTTAAAGACGAAGCTGTAGGGAGAAAGAGTACAGAACTCAAATAAGTTTTGCTGCCTTGGATCAACAGTCTTCAACGACTGAAGCCATTAACCATACACCAAAAAAAAAGAATCAAAAAATGCCACTATAAAGAAGTTCCAGAATTTGCTGTTACTCAAGGTATTCATTACAGAAGACCTGGCTTTGGTCTTAGAACAATCACTTTTCCTAATCAAAAAAATGTTTTAAACAGTTAGTACAAAAATGCCCTAGCATTCAAAGTCCAAAGCCTGTGAAAGGAAAACAAAAATCGTCAAAAACTTTCGTGTCGCTTGACAACTTTGACTGCATAAATTTGGCAATTTCGACATGGTCAGACAGCAGCAACGCGATTCCCATAAATTTACTGCTATAAATAAAGTTCAACACAAAAGACAAACTCTTACCGACAGGCATTCTTGCGTTGACATACGCTTGGCAGGGTCTTTTATAAGACAGTGGGTAACAAAGTCTTGAAACTGCGTCGACCATTCTGTCGAACTGAGCACCGGCGGGTCGTTCTGAGCAATGTGGTATAAAGCACTCATGGCGTTCATGTTAAAGTAAGGCGGCCTCTTTTCCGCTGAAAGATAGAAGATTGTAAGAAAGGTCGAAACGAGGATTTATGGACTAGTTACCTAGTTCAATACAGGTGATGCCTAGCGACCAGACATCCGCCCGTTGGTTGTACCGTCCGTGCTCCATGGCTAAAATGACCTCGGGCGCCATCCAGTAAGGAGTGCCAACAAACGATTGTGCTGGTGAGACCAAAGAGGCGCTTCCAAAGTCGGCTATAATTAACAGTACTGTACCGTGATGACCGTGAACCCATTCCCTAGTTAATTCACACCTAATTTTACAACACCCTGGTCGGTCAACAATATGTTTCCCGCTTTTACGTCCCGATGGATTCGGCCTAACGAGTGTAGGTACTGCAAGCCGTGCAACGCTTCTTGGCAGACGACTGCGATTTCAATTTCTCTCAACGGTTTTTTGTGTACTGAAAGAAAGGCAATAAGGAAAATTAAACAACGTAAGGTCATTTTTCTCAACATATGCTCTACTATAAAAACATTACAAGTAAACGGTTCGCATATTAAACTTAAAGGTACGAATCTGACATATTTTGAGCACACTAACGCGAAACCTGTATAGCACAACATGGTTTGCTTTTAAAGCAACAAACTGAAAGAATAGCAAAACGAACTAAAGCGATAAACACTGAGTCAACTTGTTGACGCTAAGAGGCTAATAAGCTTTATCATTACGGCTTTGCTGTCATTACTGCAATTAAACACGGAATCGCAAGTCAGGGCCAAATAACTTTTAATCTATGCTTCTAAACGAGTAAGTAGTGGTGAATAGCCGTGACTGACTACGACCCGCTGGCTAGCGAAGTAGCGACAGTACAAAGAATAACATACGATTCTTAGCTTTGGTGTGAAGTCCATTTAATGAAAGTAATCTGAGAAAAGTCAGAAAAATTCGGCACATCATCCATAACAAATTTCGAAAAATTTTGCTTGAGTCCCGATATCTACCGGGTGGCGAAGACTAATTTTGTTTCTAACAGCTGAAACATCACACTCAACACAATGTACAAAGGCCTGCTGATTTTCGCTGTCATTTACACATCAACACAGCATTTCAAAAAAGGCATTCCCGCTTCACTAGAAAAGTAGAAGCCAAGAAACACGCAGGTATAATCTAATCAGAAGACGGACTTCTCACAGATATGAGAGGCGCGATACAACAGTGGTACTCTGCTTCGAACTTGAGAACTGCCCGTTTCGACTCTGAATAAAGGATTAATTGTCTTAACCTGAAATTTCATTGAACAAGGAAGTGATCCCATGCTGCATTAGTGCAACCAGCTGAGACAACAGGGTCAGCATGAAGTTCTGACGAGGACATATCAAAATGGACGAAACCTACGGCCATGGTGTCCGATTCGAGCGCCACTTGTGGCTGCAGTTCGCCCTGGCTCACCTGATAGCTGACTGCTATATGAAAAAACTTTAAAACGTATAAGCCTCAACAGGACTGGAGATAAAAAAACACAGCGACTGCTAAAACAGACAGAAGGTGTATATCTCCGGCTGCCACAAACAAGAGGCACCGTATAGCAGACTAGTAGAGTTGGCTAATCGCGGTGTTCAGGGCGACTACACTAACCTGGCACCTTTGAGAAAGAAAGATTAACTGTCACGATTTTGGAAGGTACTCTGCATCTTTCAGTAACAGTTAGTGTAACATAGGAAGGAGGCCTGGATGAATTCACTGAAAATGCTTGGTAAAATCCAGCATGCTGAACATTTAGTTTTTTAAAAGCAAAACGTGTGGTTTCGGCAGTGACCAGTCATATGATATTTTTAAAAACGGATGGTGTAAACAATGCAACTGGCATCAAAAATTTATCTGGCATTCCATCTCATGCAGGGATACTAAGTGCTACAGCAACAGAAAGAAATGAGACTGGGTCGCTAGCTAAAAAAATGATTAAGAGTTTAATGAGACGGTGATGTCGAAGACACTATACCGTTAAAGCTAGCGATCTAGAGCCCAAACTCAGTGATTAGTCGGCCAGTGAATCGAACGCAATTATGAACGAACAGTCTAGATGCTTGGAAGTCATCTTTTCATCTTTTAAGCCCATCGCTAATGGTTTGGCATTTGCAATAGCCTAAACATCCAATATAACAACTCACCCACTGCACGGCAAACTTTCTCAATGCCTATCATGACCTTCATCAACGAAATCTTGTAACGTCAGTGTGCTTAGTGGATCAAACCTATAATGAAGATCTGCAATCTTAGCCTCAGGATGCGTCGATTCCTTCAGCGACTTTAAACAACATGACTTAAATTATAACTATTCTCTTTTAGTCTAGTTACAAACTGCGCTTTCTGATTCAGAACTGGTTTTACAAGAGGTTCATTTATGAGTTTTATGGACGTAATAGTTCTCGTGCAATTTTGACTTATGACACATGCGCTGTATTCAACTGTAAATTCCTCTTCTGATTTGCAGAAAAAAGGATATCTTTCGAGTTCCCGTTCAAATAATAAACTTCCGCTCATTATTCATTGCAATGGTGATAAAAAATATACAGAATAAAATTCTTTCGTTGATCACCGGTAAGTTTCATTTGTGACAAACAGTAGCGCACCATCAAGTACAATGTGGTACAGGTTACATTACTGACGACAATGTTACTGGCCACCAACCAACGAGATTCGTCCAGCAGCGATGATGATTTTTCAGACACAATGGTTAATTGCAGTTCGTGTCAAACGACAGAATGAGTAATTCATCCAACTATGTACAGAATCGAAAACAGATCCAAAAGCAATTTCAACTATGTTGGCGAAACAACCGAGAAGACCGCAGATCCGTTGGGAGGTTAAAAATGATGATGGAAGTGCATTGTCGGACGTGGCTTTAAACGTGGCTACGGCCTCAACGACCAGGAATGATAAACAGTAAACTCATTAACAAACTGAAGTTACATAAAGTAAAAAGGACACATGCAAGCAATACTCATGACAAAATAGCATTAACGGGCTCTTAAGAATATATTAATACTGAAACAGTATACCTATTCACTTTTGGAGGAAATCTGTTAATATAACAAATCATGTGATAAGCACATGGATTAAGACTCAATAGTCAATGGCACCATAAAAACTTCTAACTTAAAAATTAAAAGCAAAGAATTTTAATATTATAACTGAAACTGCGGGGAAGGGTCACAAGTCTGCCTTAATGAATGCTAGGAATTCAAATTTCCAATGCAAATACATTTTCGACAGCTAATTCCTTTGAACAAGAACTGATGCGCACGCAATATGTTCTAGTATCAACAGAAGTTCCGGTGGCAGGAAATACGAACTCTGACCTGTATGTTGATACTTTCAATGGTCTAGATCCGCAAGCCGATTCTAAACTTACGTAACTGTCAATTTAACTGTAATCAGCACCTGTACGCTGCGACCGTTTTTTAACGTAGGGCACCTGACCTTGCGTATACTGATGGAATGCCAAAATTCGTGTTTCATGGATATGTTATTCTGTACCAAGCCAAGTTAATGATTGTATGCTATTGTAAGTCTTCTGCTGAAATATCTGCGTATAGAGGCCTAGAGGATTAGAAGACCAAGAAGCCAAGGCACTGTAATCTTTGAGCTACTGTGGCTGTGCGTCCACTAAACATTTCTCGAATTACACCTTCACTCTTTCTGAGAATGTATATTGTGCGAGCCAACATTTGGTGCGGTTGTTCATTCACATCCAATAAGTGCTCAAATACCAAGGATACTACGTCGAACTTTAAATGCGGAGGTGGATTCTTTTAAGTGGGAACTTAGTTCAACAGACTACAAGTAGTTTACGGGATTACCCTGCAAATAAAATATATTATGTACTAGTTCTCCAGTGATTCGAACCATGTTCGATTCGTCTTCAGGGAGCGACATATTACAGATACGATGCTACAGTAATTGTACGTAACCATCTAAATACATAGATAACAACTGCAACATCGAGTCTGCAATATGCGCGCTCTGAAGACGAATCGAGCATGATTCGAAACGTTGGAGAACTATTACTTAATAAATTTTATACGCGAAGTAATTCCGTAAAGTACTTTTCAGAGTGCCGGGTGTTCATCTGCTTAAATGGTGTTAGGTCCCCACACGCAAGGGACGATGCAATTTTTACGAATGAGCCGTCGCAATTATTTGTGTTAGCAGCAGTAATGACATAAACCAACTATAGGTGGTGTTAAACAAACTTTAGAAATATAATGCGCACTTAAAAATCTGATTCAACTAAATACAAATCTATTTCGTAGGGAAAGATTACTCATTTAGAAGGCACAATAATCGCACACAAATAAAGGTCCTGTTACATGCGAGCGCTAGAGAAACCCAGCCTCCATTTCTAAATGGCGGTAACAGGCGCAACGATCAATGTATCGGATAGCATGCCAAGGCAAACCACGGCAGAATACACATTTTCCTTGACCGTCAAGTCCTACCACGAACTCTGAAACATCCGACAACGAGGTGATGACAACCAAGGCTGGCGGGGCTCCTTGACGCTTTCAAGAGAGTTCTAGGAAAAAATAGTCTGAATACCAATCAGACAGGAAGGATGGAGGACATATTGTCTGTTTGAAAATTTGAGGAAATTACTGACTGTCAGTTAAAGAAACGCGTCAGTAACCAACAAAAACAAGACAGTTGCGTATTTTTCGCAACAGGGGTAAAGCCATTAATTAATACCCTCAAGATTCCTCACCCGCATTACACTCCAGATAAGGTATGGTGAAAATTGTTCATCGAGCCTTCCAACCTCAGAAGAGAAGAGGGTAGAAGAGAAAGTCATTAGCGGGTTAGACTGAAGGATATCTAGAAAAGAAACGACGATTGTTGGAAAGCATCACTAAATGAAACATTCTTTACACCATTTGCACTGCCGACGGATAAACTGGGGAAAACATGGTTAAGAATAACATACCATTTCGATAATTCTCTGAAGAGAGCAAGTTCAAGGCAATAAGTAGCTATTTTGCCGAAAACGAACTGACCGCCGAATTTATTTAACCGGAATTTGGTCAATGCCAAAAATTATAAAACCTTTGACCATAATCATCATAAAACACTGCACTGCGTATTGGACTATCTGATGGAGTATGTGAAATGAGTTCTGGGACAAATTCGTAAAAATAAAAATAAAAATTTCAAATTAAACGCGACATTGCCGTCGTAAAACAGCGCAACCGAAGTAACTGTTGTTCACCGACCTTCGATGATGTCCGCAGCCGAACCGACGCAGTATTCCATGACGAGCTGAAACAAAATACGATAACGAAGAAGATAGGCATGAATACGCGATGAAGCACGCCTCCGCCTTACCCAGCATGTCTGTTCTTTGAGGTAGCAAACCTTGAACTCGACGATATTGCGATGCCGCAATTGGTGGAGGAATTTCACTTCTCGAACGATGTCCTGCCATTTCTAAACAAGACAATACCATTGAAGATGACAATCACGGTGACGACAGAAACGACCTCAACGACGAACACGTACCTCGCCGGACTGCTTTCCGCCATACGACATTTTCTTTATGGCGACGCACTCGCGTGTCACCTCGTCCATAGCCTAAATCTCCGAAATCCATTAGCCATCAGTCAATACGCGAAGACTGACAAAACCTACGAAGTAAACGGCTCCGAAGCTACCATGTCCGATTTCACGCAGATCAGTAAACCGGTTTTCCGGGTCATCGGTGACGAACAAACCGGCTACTTCCGGATCCCTTAAGCTCCCGGGCTTGGAATGGTTCACAGAAGGCATGTCACTCAGTAAATAACCGAAAAACTACGTGACAGCAGCGGGTAAGCAGTAACAACAACATTTAGCTTCATCAACTACGCTAACAAATGCACGATGAGCACATCGAAACAACAGTCATTCAACAGTGCTCATTCTAGAACAACATGTCGGAAAGTAGTCATCAACTTGTTACAAGTTATATGGTGATATGCAGAAACCAAACCCTGCTAACCATATTACAGGAACACTTCGTATACCGACAAACTGTTTCTCAGTTCTATCCAAATCGCCATTCACTGCATTCCTACGAAGTGAAACGACAGACCCGAACGGCAACTGGTCGACGCCTGATTCTGACAAAAAATGATGGTCTCGCAACGGTACCTTTATGAAAATCGCGGAATCAAACGTTATCTAAAACAATGCACTGTGTAATAAATTTTAAAACAGAAGTACGCAACGGATACAATCGGCATGCATCGATTGAAACAATACCGCACTTTCCGGAAAACCGCACCATATGCCTTTGACATAGAATTAATATATCATTTAGCAGAAAGGCCCGACAAACAGAAAATAAACAGAATCTGAATCCATAAATGCTGAAAACCACTTTAAAATTGCTAATCTTAAAAACGATACTACGCAATGAGATCTTTAACAAAATGAATGAACAATTAAAGTTACTGTTAAAAGATGTTTAAGTAAGTAAATTCTGTAATGCAGCAGTTGGTGATGGATCTCTTATCTATATATTTAATCACATCCGAGTAACATGGACGAATTGCTGATTGTAAATATATACAAATCAGTATTCACTAACAGCCTTCGTTAAAAATATTTTATAAATGTTTTTAAAATACATATCATCACATTTGATCTCTGATTGCCTTTTCAATTCTATGAGAAAAAACATAATCATTTTCGCAATGGTATATCCAAAAAAGTTAGAATAGTGCAGAATAAGGGGGCATTCATTGTGATCACTAGCAGCATTCGCTAAAAATGCCTCAAAGTTGCCTGAAGTTCGAAGTTTTACTATAAATGGTGACTCTTCATGACAAGTTTCAACCGGAGGAGGCACCGATTTGAAATTAAATTTTTAACTAGTCTAATGATATAAATGCATATTTTTATTCACTTTTTAGTTCCATTCAATCTGATTTACGAGTGCGTGATTTGCGATCAACCCGGAGTAAGATCAGCAACGACTCTTAATCAGAACGTGGCAAACTGCATGTAGAAATGGCCATTTTGGTACATTTTTCGCCCCCTTTCCCTTTGATAAAATTGTAGCACCAGTTCGAAGTAGCCACGAACTAATTTTGTGTAGTTTTGATGTAAGTGCAGTGCACTCCTACATTGATTGTTGTTGTTTGTTGTTGTCGTCGTCACAAATTAGCAGAGCAGCCCAGATTTGTAGGGCAATCGCTCGTGCGTTGGTAGTCATATTGAAACAGTAACGTAAAACACCGTTTGCTTATGCACCTGAACTTCTTTCTCCGAAATTGTTGACTGCTGGAGATGGCCAACCATATCCACGAAACCTTACAACTAACCTACCATAAAGGAGGCCCATGAGACACGAGTCGACACAGTCAGTATTGGTAAGTTACCGGACTGACCACAGAAGCTTTTGCGTTGTGTATAAGTTAACTGAAGTTTACGCTACTTTTCAACCCAGATTAATTGCCTTCAGAGACTGTACTTCAGATTCGTATTATCATCAACATATGAACAAAGCAATTTAAAAAATGGAAGGAAAATATCCTTTTAAGTATGCTACTATTTATAAACTTTGCTACGTCAGTGAACAGACAACTTTGGAACTTCTCTAAAGAACAGTGTTACTTCGAAAGGTATTGCTGGACTTAATAACTTGATGTCTGTCATGAAATATAATGCGTAGCAAAGGAACTGCGTTAAAGAAATTGCAGAGGCTTAATTAGTAAGGACTAATCAATTCATCTTGGCGTATAGTCGCTTTGTTATGACGGCTTTTAATTACTGATTTAATTGTAGTTTTATTGACGCCTGATTTCACCATAAAATTTTTTAATTTGATTGTTTCACTACTGACTGTTCCATTTTTTACGATGATAATTAAAGTCACATGTTACCTTAGCGTATTTTTAAGCTTTTTCTGAACTTCTCTACCATAATTGTTCCAGTGGGAACAATTCATGCGGTAAGCAATTGTAGCTTTCGCTTGATTTGACAAAATAACTTTCGCATACAATTGGTTAGTTAGATTGTGGAGATAGTTTTATAACATATTTACCCCATATTTAGATATAAACTGTTTATTTCTTTCACTTGGCTTCTCTAAAAATGATATCAGCCATATCGGTTGAATTTAAAGTTACCTTCTAAATGGAACATGACATGATTGGTTGCAACGTCCATGCAGCTTTCAGTTGATTGGGCTGAACGTTTGACACTTGTGTGGGGTTACTTCGCAGATAACTGTTGCCTAAGTTAGGCGCAATTAGCACGGAAATTTTACTTGCGCGAATATGAACCTTTCACCAGCCGAACTCAACGCATGCCGGTTGCAAATTTGTGCGAAGTGAAGTGGATATAGCTGCTAGGTTGGTTCGGTTTCTTATATGCAGTGTCCTTAATATCCTTATTTCCATGTATCGGACTATGCCCAGGAAGGGAAGCTTGCCATCATTATTTACTTGATAAAAAATTGAAAACCTGATGGACAGAGCTCTAAAATTCTCTGAACACATTCAAGCTTTTGTGTGCATTGTAGTTAAAATCAAATGAAATCAGACTGAAACAATGGAAAGTCTAACGCAGATCACCCTTAGTAACTGCTGCATGAGGAAATGATTGTGTGTGCATATATTCGAGATGTCACATTTTATTAAGTTAATTCGGCC